AGAACAAGTTATTTATGATTTTGACAATATGTCATTTTAGTGAATATTAACTCCTATGGTACACATTTATTTGTGTCTTCAAAAAGGGAGAAAGCTGTTGATAGATGGAAAGAATCGGTGCTTAAGATATTGGCAGAACTAAAACGGCCAAGATGAAACGGTTGTCCACAGATCATCAGAAACACTTCATGTTTACTGGCATTAACATTAGCGGGATGCTTCTCCAAAATACTCCACCCAGCGTGTCATTTTGTCTTCCTAAATGTTGTCATCAGTAAGAGGAATCAATTAGTAGTATACATACACACAAAACCTCCAGAAAAACAGATATAGCCTACCCTATTGTCATTTAGTTCAAAATTTAAAGAATTAAAATATTACTTTGCTAAAAATTGAATGGAAATAGGAATGCTCTCTGAAACAGCTGGGAGATTCTCAGTAGTAGTAGCATTTCCTTTGAAACAAGACACTTCAACTTGCAGTCCCTTGCCTGTTCTGAGGCACTGATCTTCACTTGAGTTGAAAGATAATAAAAAGTCTGATAAAAATGCATAGCTTTGACCCTCAAAAGCCACACAAGTGAAATGGTAGTGAATATTTCTGACCACTTACATCTGTCCTGCATTCATGTTTTCTTGACAGTGCAATTTAAAGAACTTTATACAATGACAAAGATACAGCAAACTACCAAATACAAGTGGTTGATACTGGTGTCTCGTTTGTGTAACTAAGTGGACTACAGACATTTTTTCTTGTTAGTCATGATGCCTTCATCTACAAGGTGCTCACTGAATGACCCAAGGCTTTCACCCATTTATTTTAAGAACATGTATTTGTTTAGTTTTTAAATGAACAAAGTAGTTCATTCCAGAGGTTGAGCAAAAGGGGTCCGTGGTTGAAAATGGGCAGAAGTCCCACTCTTCCAGAGCTGAAGACTCAGTGTGCTTTCATCAGAAGAGGAAGAATCATAGGATCATAGAATTGTTTAGGTTGGAAAAGACCTTTAAGAGAAAAAAGAAATTCAACTTCCAGAAGTTAACTGCTTTACACATCAGCACAGACAGCTAGAGCTGTCAGAGAGCAGCAAGCACAGGGCTGCTCCCCAAGGGTAGGGGAACCAGGAGTGGCCACCACACAGGCTGGGCGATGCCCTCGTGGACAGGGTGCACCCCACGGTGCCTGGGGTGATGAGCAGGGCAGGGTGCTATGCACAGTCCCGTGAGCATCAGGCAAAGGCAAGGTAGCAAGCCAAGGCCAAGATCAACGCAGTGAATCCAAACAACTTCAGTCCAACAGGGCTGGGGTGGGCCAGCTGCAGTGTCGCTGGAGCACGGATTGGTGGCCCCAGGCTGAGCTGAAATAGGGTTCTGGGCCTGTGGGCAGGGGTGGGGAGAAGTCCTGGGGGAGGCCAGGCAGGCCAGTAAAGACAGATGTGTCCTCAGAGCCCTGGTAAGAACTAGACAATTGTACAAAGACAGACAGACACAAGTATTTTGCAAAACCTCTTTGAGACTGGTCTTTTGAAAGGTAATGGTGAGACTGGTGCGGCCAAGGAGTCTCGTAATGTTTTAGAGGGTGGGACTTCACATTTTCCTGACATTAAAAATGCACCAGTGAATTTTACAGTGTTGGGTTCTTGGCCCTCAATAACGGAGAAACCCTTTCCTTTTCTGAAATTAAATATCAGAACCGTGCATCTCTACCAAATCCAGTTTAGAAACTATAGCACTACTTGACAGTAATGATAGGAAAAAAATGTCATTTTTCTTGAAACTAATATTTCTGGCAAAGATCTATCTCTTTTCAAGAGCATCAATTTCAAGCTATCTGCCAGCTGTGTCAGCACAGCTCACATTACAGCCATAACCAATTTCTTGAAAGTTACTCCTACAGAGTCCTTCAATCTGTACATCCAGAGCCTATCCACTTTGCTTACACAAGTAGTCCTACTGAGGTCAATGGAAAAGGTGAAAGGGATTTGTTCCAAGATGCTTATTTGAAGGATGCCTTACGTTGCACATCTGTAACAAAGGAATTTGCTACAAGGTCCATTCTTACAGCAGAACTGAGTTACTGTATACAAATATTTCTCTAAAACCAAGTAATTTAAATTGGAAAAAAAGATGTTACTAGGCACTATGCTTTCTTAAAAGCATCAACGAAGACTCTTGTCTGAAATTATGCCCCTGACTTGCCCAGGGCTCCATGAACTGTTTATTATTGGATCAAAAGTAAACTGTTACCATGAGCTGCTTGAACACTTCATGTCATTAACTATCATTAACGATTTCACAGCTAGTGATTTCCACACGCATATCTAGCTGACATGCACAGCAAACAGTTCCCATGTTTCAGTAATCAAGTGGCCTCTCTCTGTGCTGCCGTGATGCCCAGATTATTCATACTTTACTGCCTTGTCCCTGAACCCCTGCTAAAATTCCTTCCACACCATGCAATTAGAAGTCGCCAATAAAAACTCAGAAGTATATGGAAACTTGAAAATTGAGGACAAAGTGAAAAGGATTTAAATGCAAAATTAACACTAGACAGGCTATGGTACTGTCTCCAGTATACCTTTTCATATTCCATTCTTTGCGATGCTGTACTAGAGAGAATGTAGGAAGCTAGATACTGAATTCATATACAGCTTGCTCAGGGGTACACTAGATTTTATTTATCTAAGGCTTCTTCAAAACTTTATTCTAGAAACAAGTTGGAAATGTCACAAAAATCAGGCTTTTCTTTTGAGAGTTATACCACACAGATACACGGATGATGATGATCAGAATCATCATGAGGCTGAGCTACTCTGCAAGTACCATTGCTTCAGTTTTCATCCCAGCTGCATCAGGAAGTGCAGAGGAGAACTAATATCTTAGTAACTGATGAATTAAATGTTCTGCTCACATTTTTGGGAGGTCACTTCTCATTTTATCCTGATAGAGTTTGCCAGTTCTTTAAGTTTCAGTCAATTCGTGGGTAAGTAGCTGGTCAGAAGATAGGAAACAAACAGTCAGAAAGAAAAGGTCAGTTTTTAGAGTGGCATCCCCCAGGGACCAACGTTCATGTCTTGCTGGCAGTGTACGCAGAAAGAATCTACAATACAGGCTGGACAGCAAATAGGTAAGATTGTGCTAGCAATCTGAAGGTATTCATGGTAGTAAAGACGATAATTGACCACAAAAATTTGCCAAAGAATCTTATGATACTGAGTTGCCAAGTGATAAAATGGCACCAAATTCAGTGTCGTAGCAATGCATGCAGAATAAAATGCTCCTAACTTTACATAAAAAATAAGAGGACTCTGTACTAAGCTATCACTGCTCAAGACAGATCTTGTGGTTGTAACAGATAGATGGCTCTATAACATTATCAAGTCCATGCTCAAAAGCAGACTAAAGGGAAAAAATGAAATGAAATAATAGAAATAATCAGGGAAAGAAAAAAGCATGGCACTGTTGAAACCTAGGATATTCCTGCATATTGCTTACTGATTGCAGTCTTGATCCCCCCCATCCCAAAAGGATACACTGAAACTAACAGACCTGTAGGAAAAGACAGGATGGGTGTTCAAAGGTACGGAACAGAAGAAACTAAAAAAGGTCTATACAACCCTGAAGATAATGGAGTGGATAATAGGTGGAGAGTGTAGAACCAGAGTGCATTCAAATGTAAGTAGCAAGTAGCAGATTAAAAACATCAACAAAACCATTTTTTTTTTACAAGGAAACATTGCTATGGGATGTCGTGGACTCTAAAAATACAAATATCTCCATAAAGTAACCAGATTAACTTACAGAAGATATATTTGTGAAAGATATTATCTATAAAGCCCTACTTCTGATTTAAAGAAGTCTTTCAGCCACAGACCGCTAAAAGCTCAATAACCAAAACTGAGAATGCATCATTGCATGTGCACTTTCTTACTGTAGTCCTCCTTGGAATTTCCTACTTGCTTGCATTTTGGAGACATTGTACTGAGCTCAGAGGCTTTGCAGCTGTCTGAGTTTGTTCATTATTCCTTTCCTACGATCTCAATTCACTTGCAGGTAAAATATAAGCAGATGGTATAATAGTGTAACTGGAAAAAAATGGATGATGAACATGTTATCAACATTTTAGGGGAAAGAAAGTTAAAGAAAACTAAAAAGTTAAATTTAAGAAAGGCACCTGAAGTGAGGTGTTCTTTGATGTGAGACAGCGTAATTGTAGATGGCTATCTGAAGGATCACAAGACATTTGTTTTTTGTTGTTGATTCTATGACTATATTTCTGTGTCTTTGTACAGGACCCCAGTGTTTATAGATATCTGTTATGACTAAACCCTTTGACAAAAGGAACTAAATAGTTCTACTGTTAGTAAGTTTTAGCAACAGAAAAAGGACTGAGTACTAAGGTGATAAACTGGTAGACTGTTATCTGTAAAAGTACTGCCCTGGGAGAGTGGGGACTGGCTACTGGGTGAGTGTATGGAGGTCTTAGTTTGCTCCATGGAGGGATGATGCTATCTTGTAAAGATTTTCGTCTCATATCTTTCATCATCAATAAATAATTTCACTTAGAAAAAAAATGGTAATAAAAGTATTCCCAGGCTGTTGGGAAGCACGCAAGTTTCATGTCTCTAAGTGAGCCCACATACTGCATTAAAATATTTTTTATATATTGCAAGGGAGCTGAGAGAACAGATGCTGATGAAGGCAAAGCTGCTGAGTTCAGGGCCATGGGTCAAGAAGCACGACAGGGGCCAGGGACCTGTCATACACTGGGTGCCATCTCCTCCTTTCCCATCTGGGGAAGGGGGGACGAAGGTGAGGAACAGCTCGCTGAAGCCAGGATCGGCAGTGAGGCTCATCAGAGAAGAGGACGGTAACCACCATTTCTCCTGCGCTAGACCAAAATGCTCCAGTGCTTGTTTTCCAAAGAAATGAAGCGTATGAGCTGCAGCTGCACTGCTGGCATGTCTGTCTGTCAGCCAACCCCCAGGCTCGGAGCGTTGAACCACTGGCAATTTCAAGAAGCATGGATGACAGAAAGGTAGAGACAGGGAAGACAACAAAGCCTAGATCAGATCACCTAAACATGGTGTCTCCTGTCCCTTTAGGCACTGTCACTTGCTCGCTAGCTGTCATTTTAGGAAAATGCAGGTCTCCCACTGTCTTGTGTCTGCCAGTCCTCTCCAGAGATCTCAGGTTCCCCATGATATCTCAGAGGGCACTGGACCTCTACATTTAGGCAGCTGATCCCTTCCTGATTTCCCACCTATTTAATGAAAAACAGTATCTAAGCAAAGGAGAGAGATCGCAGTATTTCTCCTGACGGAAAGGCAGAAGAGCTCAGCACGCAGGTGTTCTTCTGGACCAGCCAGGAGCTAGAAGGCAGTGGCTCGTCAGGCTGCACAATGTCAAGCACAACACGCTGCCACTTGCCCAGCTGGCAAACAGGCAAACATTTGGCTACCGGGGAGATAGGTACAGGGATGTGGAACCATGAGTAGTTTGATGCCGTATAAGGCCACAGGGACATGGGAGGGATCTAAGCTTTACCAAGGCAGTGAAACTGGTGGAGCACAGCAAGAAGCTGGAGGTACTGTGAAGGTGCCATGGGGAGACTGAGAAGATCAGCAGTTATGCTATTGAGGCTGCATTTGGTAGCCTGAGAACTAGGATAACTGTAGCATGAAAATACAGTTGATGTATGTAATGGAGCCCTAGGACATAGGGCTTTGTTAATTTGCTTCTCGTGAAATAAATTTTTCACTGTCCTCTGACCAAGGAAGGTATCCTGTTACAGCAGAAGTTACAACACAGCATTATCATACCGTAACTGCACAAACATTGATGAAGCATATCACCAAAAAATTACAAAGAAATGCACACGTGAGAGTAGTTGTCAGTCCAAGTTAGGGGCTGCTTCACAACAAAGTTTCTCTGATATTTCTATTTGGTTTAGTGACATACTGGTATCGTCCATAGATCACTGCAGCGTGGCAGCATGCAAATTGTTGAATAATAGGATAACCATCTGTTTGATGATGAATAGTTTGGCACAGAAATGTGGTTGAGCCTTCCTGCAGACATCCGTGTTCAACTAAATCTCTGTCAACTCTCTGAATAAAGGGCACTGAACGTCAAGTTAGTTTCTATTTCAGTATCATCACTAGCTTACCAGGGCAAAGCATTGACTGATGCTTATGATGGTAGCTCCAGTCATACTAATGGCAATGCCAATTTAATATATAGTGTTTATACTAGTGTAATGTTCATTTACAGACACTGAGAATCTGATCCTGACCTTTACAATAGCGACATTTCTTAGTATTGAACTTCCTAGATTTTTGTTGTTCGTCTCTATATCTTGATACATTTTAATTTAGGCTGTTCATGAATTGCGGCACTGGGATACCTTTTGTCCTATAAGTCAGTTGAATTTACTCCTTGTATTCCCCAGATGGCATAAAGTTTTGAGTAATACACTATTAGATTATCTTTTTCTGATGATGCATCATACTAAATCATCATCTGACTGATGAGAATATAATGGGGATAACATATTAACATAACTTATCATTCCTGTACCTTGCTTAAGGGATATTTTACTTTATCATATAATATATTAGTTGTCACTTCCATGATATATTACAGTAAGACATCATCAGAATGAAACATTTTGATGAAGTAGTACTTAACAGTAGAAACTATTATCTGGGGATAAACAGGCCTCAGGGGTACTTTGTTTAACAGAATAGTGTAATACAAAGGTAAGAAGATACATGGCATAATGAGAGATGTGATTATTCTCTGACATCAGACTTGCCACTGGTGCTAGACCAGCTGTGGTTTATCTTGAAACAGTAATTTATATAAATTGCTATATACCCTCTAAGCAGCGGTGACTTTTGCATTACCTTCATGAATTCACCAAAAAGCTTCATCAAAGTAGCTGAAACTTGTTTTGACTTTTTAGAGTATCTCTATCTCTACAGATTAAAAAAAGCCAATGAGTTTATTTCACTAAAAAAATCTACCTAGTTCAGAATAACAAAAATTGAGGAGTTTGGTTTTGGTTTTTTTTTTTTTTTTTAATTTAGAAATGTTAATTTAGCAGAGGTAGATTGGCAAATGACGCGTCTTTTTTTA